AGAGAGAGAGAGAGAGAGAGAGAGAGAGAGAGAGAGAGTAAAAAGAAAGGAAGAACAGAGAACATAAAGAGAAGGGAGAAGAAAGGTAGGATAAGTTGGGTTGAGATGGTGGAACAAGATATACACTCCTGTATGTTAAACTATAAATAGAATAACAAGATAATATATCGGCTCTGTGAAGGGCTAGCGCAGATTCCATATATAATCATACCCACGAAAAGAAGCAGAAATTAAAATATTTTACATTACACCTTTATTAGATTGTCCCATTTTTCCCAGTCATTTTCAAACTTATGTTTAGCTTTTTCACTCTTACCATTAGCAATGTACTTTTGAATCAGATAGTTGTCTTTAATTATGTTTCCGAGAGCGTTTACATTTAACGAGTTATGCAAACATCTCATTATGTAAATATGCTGCTTAATAATGATGATGATTTCATTATCTACTCGATTACTGGGAAGAAAATTCTGATGAAGAAGGCCAAAAATAAAAGATTTTTGATTTACTGAAAATGGAATTAAAAGAGCTTCCGGTAATGTATCAAGACTTTCTAGTAATCTTTGTACTTCTTCACATTCCCATAATATATGAGTAATTGTTTCTGGTTCAGAGTTGCATAGTACACAAAGAGGGGAGACAGCTACTCCAATTTTACATAGAAATGAGTTAGTCGTTAGTACATGATGAATCACTCATTACTGAAACCACTGATGTCTTGTATTTGTTGTTACACAGAATGGCATTTTGTAGATTTTACACCAGGTTAGTTTATCCATGTTGTCGAATATAGTATTCCACTTGCTGGTACCAGATGGTATCCTGTCTGATTTGATTATGATATTGTAAAACATTTTAGACCCTTTGTTTGTTAATAATAGGTACCATACATAATGTACAAATACATGTACACAGTATCAATCTTCTACTTTAACTTTTACAGAGTACTGACCAGCTTCAACAATTTGAAGATTAATGTCAGAGGAGAGTTTAGATGGGAAGAGGAAATTTTTTGTCAGGAGCAATTTAGTTTGTTTTTGCAAAGTGACGGTAGAGACTTGATTTGAAAGAGTTTGTTGTCAGGCTAGATACAGTATCAGGAGGGAGTTTATTCCACTCGGATATAGTCCGAGGGAAGAAAGTTCCTTTTCTAAACAGAGTTTTGGATAAAGGAATTTGGAAAGAGAGCTCGTTTCCATACCTTGATTTTCTGACAGGGTGAATAAGTCTGTCAGATTTCAACTTTGTTATTGACAATATTATAAAACATAGTAAGACGTGCATCTCTCCGTCTACCGCTAGAGGGCGCAGTTTTAAGTGGTCCAACATTTCAGACACACTTGAGGTACGGTGATTTTACCTGTGCTTGTTAAGCACTACCGCGCAGCCCTGCGCTGCACCATTTCAAGTTTGTCAATATTTGTTTGGGTGTGAGGATACCATACTGTGCAAGCATATTCTAGTGATCGATGGTATTACTAGTGATTTAGATGCCTGTACTTTGGCTGATTTTGAGCCAATTGTTAGATTACGTCTGAATAAGCCTAGTGTATGTGGAGTTAGCCTTTGAGCAGATGTTATTAATATGGGAGTCCCATTTGAGGTCAATCCATTAAGGTTGTAATTATGGATTATAGGAGCTCTAGCTTTAGTTACAGATAGCACATTACATTTGCTCGGTTGGAAGGCCATTTTCATTTATTTTCCCATAGCGCCAGTTTGTCAAGGTCTTCCTGCAATGTTACAGCACCAGTGTTTGACCTGACAACCAAATATGCAATAGTGTCATCTGCAAATAAACGAACTGTAGCATTCAGACACACAGGGATGTCGTTTATCAAAAACAAAAGAGGAAAAAGCTTGGTCCAAGAATTGACCCCTGGGGTACTCCAGAATGGACATTGACAGAGTCAGACTTCTCACCTTCTATTACTACTGTTTGGGTTCTACCAACCAGGAAACGTTCAATTCAGAGTGTGACATTGGCCCTTATGCCATAATATTTAAGCTTGTGGATTAGTAGAGAATTACTGACATTGTCAAAAGCCTTGGCAAAGTCCATTGTTACGATGTCAGTTTGATGTCCTTCCTCAAGGTTTCAGGAGATATCGTCAATGGAGTCAAGTAGTTGAGTTTTACATGAGTTTTGTTTTAAGTCCCATAACTTTATTCTGGAGTCGGGCTACATGCATTTTAAAATTTTCAGCCAGAAGTAAATCAAATTATTTTCTTCAATTAGTTGTGGGAAAACTTGTTGAATCTCCTCTAGATCCTTGATATTTTGCAGGGTCTTGATGGACTTTTTCATATTATCCGACAGGCGAATTCCAGAAGTCAATCGTGGCAATTTCGTAAAATAAATGGCGGAAAAGGGTGTATACGGGTACATCACCGAAATATAATACACTAAATGTAGAGTTCAGGTAACAAAGTCAGAACATTTCAAACATTCCGAACATTAATTTATAGTCAGTCCTATAGTATACCTGTAAGGTAAAGATCCATCACTCGGTTTTGAGATATTAAACCTATATGTGAAATTTTAAACGGAGCTCTATACTATAGCGACTATCCGCTTGACCGCTGGATGTGTACTAATCGCTAATCATAATAAAGTTCAATTAAAAAATATCCCATGAGTTACTTTGTGCTTCCCATAAAAATAAATAAACTTCTGTCGGTTTGAACCATTCTTAGCCTCGAATTTGTAAAAAAAATAGTAAAGAAAAAGCGATGATAGTTACATCTTTTAGTCACACAAAAGATAATCTTATAACAATTTTACCGTGGCCTATATTGCCGAAGCTCTGGTTATCTTAAGATACGCAGGCCTCGAGAAAATCCGTTTGAGACATCAGCCCATCTTACTGCCCAGAATAATCATATCTGCTACCTATCATAGGGGAACTATTCTCTGTGTGAAAACAACGTTTAATTCCACAGTTAACTTTCATTTTAAGAAACCCAGCAGACCAGGCAGTTCTTCAATGTTAACGTTTTGATGTAGGAAACTTATGTCATATGAAACAGGGCTTTAGCGTCTCCAACTCCAAAGTAAGGGTAAGCGATTGGTAGAAAGTATTATAGAGCCAGAGTCATATCTGACAGTAATAATGACATGTTATAACTTACAGTGTACCACTACTTACATAGGTGATATTTGATCATCAGGATAGATGGTGGCACATCAACTCTGTACCACCACCCCCCCCCCCCCCCCCCCCCCCC